AACCCTTACTAATGATATGCTTAGCAGCTAAGATGCTTTTCAAAACCCAGGAAGATCTGGAACCAGGATTAGCCGCGAGAAAATCATGAGAAGGGAAGTACTTAGCCTTGAAAAAATTGAAGAAGAAAGAATTCTCCCCAACCTCAAGACGCCAACCAACTTTCGCTAGTAATGCCAAATTAAAAGATGGAAGATCCTAAAACCCAACCCACCAGAAGCTTTTGGATCACAAAGAGTCTCCCAACGAAGACACTGGATTTTATGCCTTTCTTCAATTCCACTCCACCAGAATGATGACATTTTTTGTCGGAGTTTGTCGCATGAATTATTCGGCAACATAAAGCTTTGCATAGCATAAGTCGGGAGAGAAGCCAATGTGGATTTCAGTAAGACCTCCTTCCCAGCTCGAGAAAGAATATCACCTTTCAACGTCTTAATCTTGGAGGAAATTTTGTCTTGAAGGAACTGGAAAGAGGCGAATTCGGACTTCTTAAGAATATCACCATCCCATCAGTTGATCCATGTGGAATTGTTCTTTCTTCCCATATGATGTGTATAAGGCAATTATCGATTTTTATTTTTAAGTGTGGCCCGGTGGGTATCAAGAAACTAATTTTGATGCTATCTTAATTTTTATACACTAGTTATGCCAACTCAATAATAGTTTATAATTGTTTATTTGAGTCTAGGTGTACATGTGATTGGTTAGAATAGAAAAGTCTGTTTGATTTGTAATTTTGGTAATAGTTTTTTTGTTTTAAGAAATTGAAAACTATAAAAAAAAATTTAATTTGGTTCAATTTTTAAAAATATTGTTTTCTGAAATTTCGGTTAAAAAAAAGTTTATTTTCAGATATAAAATGCTATGAAAGTAGTTTTCTATTATCTGAATTCTTAAAATCTGTTTTCAAAATTACAAACTAAGTGCGCCCTAAAATTACATTGTGTTTCATGCAAGAAATGTTTTGAAAAAATTCACAATCAGATCTGGTTTAAACACCACATTCCCAAACAAACTTTTATTGCTTGGCTTACCACAAATGGTAGAATTAATACTCGGATAGGAAGTCAATGAAGCACAAGCAACACACCAATGCGTGCTTTCTTTGCTTGGCCAACAGTGAGTCAGTCTTTGGACCATTTGTTCTTCCAGTGAGTTCTCAAATGCAATCAGGTCCTTTGTACAACACTCTGCTGGATTCTACATTCAGCCTGCAACAATTGGAAGGACTTAATTTTGGGGTGTTCAGCAAATTGGAGCCCAAAGGGTTTCCTAGTTCACAAGCTACTTCTCTCTGCTGCTGTTAACTTTCTTTGGATCGAAAGGAACAATAGAGCTTTCAGGAATTCCTCATCATCCACAACCGCAGTCATTAATCAGATCAGGAAATGTACCAGAGGAAGACTTGCATCAATCATATATCCTTAAAGGCACAACAGATTTGAAGAGAATTAATGCACTTGAGGACCTACAACCTCTTTAATGAAGCCTGCTGCTACGCCAATGCTCATTCTCTTACTTTCCATTAAGCTATTTTGTCTACTGTGGTAGTTCTTTAGTTGTTCTCAGCTAGTGGTGTGTTGAATCTCATATCTCCCCTTGCAGAAATTGATCTGCATTGTTTGTTTTCTGCTTTGGCAGTTTGGTTTCTGCTTTGGCAGCCTGTTTTGTCCAATTTGGACCTCCTTGTACATTCTTTTCTTCTTCTAATACAAGCTTACCTTTTAACTAAAAAATAAAAATATATATATAGAAATAAAAATAAAAAAGCCTCTGCCAATTTCACCCCATGAAGTTACGAATCCATAGCAGTAGCTCCATCAAATATACAATGGTACATCCTTAGCCCTAGAGAAAATCCTCCACATTTAAATTTTGTCACCTGCAAGATGTTTTTTTAAAATAAAATTAAAAAAAAATGGGATAATTAATTAATTTGCGTGGTAGAATTAATTAATATATACCTGAACCACTAGAGGTGGTGGTATGTCTATGGTATTTTTGGCAGCAGGAATATCATCATAAACCAACTTCTTTCCAAAATGGACGAGTCCTTGTTCTGTATTGTCAACTATCTCTTGTATGGTACAGTTGGCTTCTGCCTCAACAAAAACGGCACCTTCCCCATTGCCGTCCACCATCAGCTTTACGTCGGAGCCGAATGTGAGTCGGCCGGCAACTGGGTAGTAGTGAACGAGAAGTTTTGACAAGGCCTCCTTCGTTACTTCCGATCCGCAGCTTTCTGGTTGCCTCTACACTCTTCTGATGATTTAAAGCAGTAAATGGTTGGAACTGAGACCTGGTAGTTTTGGTCGAGTTTGGAGAGAAAGAATAGTCCACCCTTCTCTTCCGTCTCCTCTGCAGGAGGAACTAGGGTTGGCTCTCCTTTCTTCACAATCAGTTCTTCAAACATATATATAGAGTTACTACTACCATACTCCATTACAAGAAATTCAAAACCTGATTCACAAATACAGAATTTAAAGTTATATATTGATTGTTATGCGTTAGAATTTGGTGCTTGTAAATGCTAGAAAACAGAACTTTAAATCCCAGTGAAAAGAAGAATTTTTTATTATTATTAACTTTTTTTTATCGTGTCAAATTAGGAGAAGGGACGGCTCCAACACAGTATGCCCGTCTAGGGAGCTGAGCACTCTACCAATTAGATCATTGGCCGATAACCTATAAATAAAGTAGTTAGCATATGCATTACATTACTTATGCATACCTGACACATCTGTGAAAATAGAAAGAGGATCGAACTAAATGGAATTCACAGAATTTAACATATAGAAGCATGATATACCTGTAAAGCAGTACAGCAGCTGAGGACGACAATTATACATGGATAACAGGACTTATATATAGGATGGATCTAACTATATAAAAATTACATTTATTATATGTGTGTGTGTGTGTGTGGTTTAAACACACATATCATTTAAACTGAAGAATGTTTTTTTGCCACGCTTGAAACTTCTTAACCACTAGGGCACCACCATAAGGGTTAGGGTTGCCTTCTTTGAATTTTAAAACTTAAGTGACAATACAACAGCAATTCATTGAATAATTTGGTCAGAGATGATATGTAATAACGTGAATGTCTTCATTTCAATTTAATTTCTGCGTTTGTTGGAGATTTTTTTGCAGACTTGGATGCTTGTGCTAAAAACTAGTTGTTAAAATTTGGAAACTAAACCGCCATCTGCTACCAAAATATATAAATAAAATAAGACTAGCTATAATAAGCTTTTGTGGGTATAAAATATCTTTCTATTTTTTTATTTTAATTTTTAATTGTTTTTAGGTAAGTAAAATCTTTCAACTTGTGTGGAAGGAACCTTTTTTTTTTTTGGTTAGATTAATGGCAATACACTATAAAAAATTAACTTGCATTGTTCACCTACTAATTATTAAAAATAAATAGACCTCCAATTTCCAGCAGATTTTATAAATGACTCGGTCATCAAGTTTTTGAAACCCAGTTCTAGCTAGGAATTTATTTTAGCTGACAATTTGAAATAATAATAAATAAGTTTTTTTTTTTTTTTTTTTTTTTCTTCTTTCGCCTCTTGAAGTTGATGGGTAGTGTGAAACTAAATAAATACTGTATATCTTAGATCCGAATTTTTTAAAGGGTATTTTAATATATTCTCCGGTTGTTATATTGTCTTAGAGCATTCTAAACTTTTTGTATTATGTGCCATTTTTCTGAACACAGAGAAATCTCGTCGACGACGTAATCCAAATTTTGTATGAACCAACTCTGATCATATTTGTGTGATTGACCTACATAATCCAAGTAAAATTTTCTGTGTGTTCTCCTTGTAGCCAACCCCTTATGAATCCTCTCTAATCATCCATTCAAATATCAGAGACGGTAGCAATTGAAAGTTACTATTCCGAGACCTGATAGGTAATAATAAAGCAAAAACTTAAGTCACACGATTTTTCTTAACGAGTGCAGCTCTCACGTTCCGAGCACGCTCTAGCTTTTGCGCTCCGCACGCGCTCTCTCTATGATTCTCACTCTGTGTGACTTAAATTCTTCTCAACGAGTACCGCTTTCACATTCAGAACGTGCTCTCGCTCCGATTCTCACTCTGTGTGACTTAAATTCTTCTCAACGAGTGCCGCTCTCACGTTCAGAATGTGCTCTCGCTCCGATTCTCACTCTGTGCGACTTAAATTTTGCTATTTTCACATCTTGCTCTCGATTTCTTTCTCGCTCCCGCTTTATATAATTTGGGCAAAAACTAGATTTGTTAGCATCTACTCGTGTTTACCAAAAACATTGTTGGTGTCAAAACTTCGAATTCAGCCTTAAAATCTATATTATCAAATACGTTTTCGATTATAAAAAAAATGAAAACATATTATTAAAAATATTTTTTGCTTTTGTTTTACCTTTTTAGGAGATGGCAACAGAAAACAAGAAACCATTAGTGAACGCGCAGCCGAAGATACTCCACCTACAACACATACGCACAAACAATTTCCAGTTTCTTTGGGCAATATGGGCTTCAACACAATTTAGGTGGAAAAGTAGCTGAGGATTTAATAGAAACTGGACTCATCTATCAAAGAGAAGTGAAATTCTCAAGGCATTCTTTACATTACCTGAATCAACAAAAACTGATCTGACTAATAATCAATAGGATAGATTTTGGATAAAATCATCATTAAAACTACAAGGTATTGAACGCATATTCATCCAAAATCTGCTGGTTTAGGAGTAGCCAGCTGAAGGTTTAAAACACATCCATTACGCAAACGATTCTCAAGAAAAGAAGGAAAATGAGCATAGAAACCCTTTTCTTGCCTGTTTAAAATTCCGCCCCAGCGAAAATGGAGGGGGATCCCCAGAATAATCTCACAAAACATATCGAACTGATTCTAAAGCAATGCTTCTTGATGGGAATTTTAAATCCTCCATAAAAGCAAAATGCTGAGGGCAAAAGAAAATCTCTATGGTTATTTGCATTTGAAGTCAAACTAGAATAACAGGAGCTGGAACATTTGCAAACTAGTATTCAACATACAAGTTAGGGTCTCCAGAAGCACGATCTGTAACTCACTGTTTTGAACCCATGGAAGTGAAATATTAAACCATGGAAGAGACCCCACATTCCATACATTCTGTAATTCAGAATTGAAATTCTCATAGCTTAAAAAAAAAAAAAAAGTACATATCATGCAATGGTAACTAAAATACCAATTTATGCATCATTGTAAAGAATAAGAAGGCTGAGTGAAGAAGTTGTCAGGCTCCCATTTAGCACTTCGCTTTCCCAACATTTTTGTAGACTTACTTGGACTGAAGACCATAAACTGAACATACTAACAACTAGAAGAGCACAAATCTAGCTGATGTCGGGCTTCATACGGACGGGGATGCATCTTGAAACACGAAACAGCAGGGTAGAGATAAAAGAAAGTCGACAAAATATAAGAGCACAAAATGATCTCAAGGGAAGATTCATTGGAGTTCAACAAAACTACTATTTACTAGACCATGTGTATCCCAGAGAATAAAGATACCTCCATCTGTTTAGCTCTTCAACTAGCTGTCGCAGCACGAGCCCCTCCTAGTAGAATAAACATAAGAATTATCAGCCAATAAAAGCTAGCAAGTACGCAAATTGCATTCAAGTTTATTATATAATTGATCAACAAAAGAAACATTTTGCATGAAGAAATCCTCTCCTGATATAATTGTACACGTGACATAAAACAATGCATAATATTATATTCAACAGTATGTATCACAGTATTCTGCACTGTACTGGGAACTATGTTGCCTGGACGCATATTTTTTCATTACATGGAACTGGTACAAGAACATAAATGCAGTTTGCCACAATTCAAGAATATGGTACTACAGGGGGAAACCTTATATAGAACATGTACTTAAAATGTGTTTAGAAATGGAAAATTGACTGCCCCGCTCCTATTGGGAAGGGTATAGGAGCTCAAGTGTAAGGTTTGGGTGGGGATGAGAATGAAAAACGAAATGCACCTGCTGTGACTTAATTATAGCTCACTAAGGTCATGTGTTTGAGTTGAGCACTAATACCATATACATCTTTGACTAGATGAAAGAATTTCGTACAGAGAAGTAACTCTAAATTCCAAATCAGTATGTGTGGCCTGATACAATTACAATTTTATTCAGGTTAACAGTACCATATCTATTAAAAAGCATTATGGCTTTGAGCTATCATGTCAACAAGGCTGTTGGGATGGTTTCCGAACACAAACATACCATGTGGCTCTAGCACAGGCTTAAAAGAATTTTAGTCGACCAAGGCTTTAAAGGGCAGTTGCGGAGGGCAACAGCAGTAATTTTACAACATTGGTCACAGCCATGAAAAATTTCAATGTCACAAATCTGGATCAAAATAAACCGATATGTATCTTTTAACTCCAAAATCCAATACAAGCATATTTTTATTGAATTTATTAAATATCTAAAGGTGATTTTATATGAGTAATGGTTTACTAATTAAATTTTAAGGCGTTGGGAAACTGAACAATATAATTCTAAAAATGTGCTAAATTTACATTTCTCATTGATTTTACGAAAGAGCACAGGTTTAAACGAATTTTAGTGGACCGAGGCTTTTAAGGGAAGTTGCAAAGGGCAACAGAAGCAATATAACAATATTGGTCATGGCCATGAAAAATTTCAACGCCACAAAACTCAATCAAAATGAACCAATATGTACCTTTTAACTCCATATTCCAATACAAGCATATTTCTAATGATTTTTATTGAATTTTATTAAATATCTAAGGTGATTTTACGTAAGTGATCATTTACTAATTAAATTTTAAGGCGTTGTGAAACTGAACAATATAATTCTAAAAATGTGCTAATATATGTTTTTTGCAACCTTTTTTTTTTTTTTTTGTCCTTTTAATTCAGTTTCTAATTTACTCTTTTATGAAAAACACATTAATGTAGACTAGAGATATAAAATATAAGATATTTATATATATAATGCACAATATACAAGTACTTGTAGTTTAATGATATACTAATATAGATAATTTTTCAAATTAATTAAAACAAAAAATTCAAAAAAATCAGAGAAGTAAGGAAGTATCACAAAATTTAAAACATAAAAAAGTTGTAAAAGTTAAACATTCGATCATGTTTACAGGTGACTTGCATGTTTTACGAATGTAAATCACTTTATCCCTTTAAAAAATAAGGAAATATTAGAAAATAGATACATCAGGAGATTCGTAGCAAGTTCTACTAACAAGATTGTTAAATCTAACATAAAAAATGTTTTCAAGGTAGATCAAGGTGAAAAACAGGACAAAAAATGAAACATATCACAATCATACCAATTTTTTGGAAAAAATGGAAAGCATTTATCAAAACTTAACAATAAATCTTATCTTTTTCTTTTGAATTTTAATTTTAAGTTGCTTGGTGTGTTTGGAGGTTGTTTAGTAGTTGAGACTTTTTTGGAAGAGAGAAATCCAAAAAATTGGAAAAAAAAAAAAAAAAAAAAAGGTTTCTATTGCTGGGGTGACAAAACAGTACTGTCACGACTCAGTCGCGGCTATCATGGCCAAATGGCACCAAGATGACTGCAAAAATCTGTCTCACCAAGATTTCGACTTGACTAGGTCTTTAACATCATCAAGTACGATCCGAGTTGACCAAATTTTAGAAACTTGTAGTAGACTTGGTGTCATTAGTAGGAAAGTGTCACATCATGTTAACTATTGTAACTAATATAAGAGAATGTACCCAATAAGTATCCTTGCCCTGCATCAAGTAGAATTTACATTGTCCCTACCTCATTCTGATTCAGGGTGAGGGTGAGTTTGGATCTTTTCTATTTGGTGAGACGGATCAAGAAATGGGTGCCTCATCCCGCACATACCCTGACCTATTTCTAAGTATGATGAAATTTATTTTAACAAGTGGTGATATATAATATAATAATAATGCATCTATACATTTCTTACATAATAATTAATTAAGCAACAATATAGAACTTAGTATGATTTTCATAAGTTGAACTACTGCTGAGACATGATCCTTCCATAAAGTATTTCATAAAACGACTAGCGGGGTCTAGGAAGGGTCAACTGTATGCAGCCTTACCTCCAGATGTGAAGAGGCTGTTTCCCATTTTGAACCCATGACCTCCAGGAAATCAATATGATTTTTATAAGTTGAAATACTGCTGAGATATGATCCTTCTGTAGTATTTCATAAAACAACTAGCGGGGTCTGGGAAAGGTCAAATGTATGCAGCCTTACCTCCAGATGTGGAGAGGTTGTTTCCCGTTTCGAACTCGTGACCTCCAGGTCACAATGGAACAACCTTCCATTAAGCATTTCATATAACTCAATTTAATGCTCCTGTAGCAAAAATGTACCATGTACCAAAATGAAAACCTTTTTTTAATGTAAGGATTTTCTGGTAATCATGATAAGAACAATACCACAAAATCCCATCTAGATCAAACCACAACTAACATTTTCTCTCTTTTTTTTCTTTATAGAGTAAAGATCACCATGAGAGCCAAACAAGTTTATCATGCCACCAGTCCAATAACCTTGGATTTGAGGTTCTAGGTTCTCAAATTCGATCACTACCATATAAGCATATTTCACACTTGAAGCGCTTTATTTTATGTTGTCAAAAAAGGATATGTGGTATAAATACTGAGGATCTACTCCCTCTTTTTCTTTTTACTCCAAAAAATGATCTTGAATATTCTACAAGTGTAGAAGGTGTTAGGAAGGGATAATGATTTGGGAGTTTATTAGGCAAGGAAAAGACAATCTTGGGACTATCTGGGGCTATGAATTGTACCTGCAGACATAACTAGGAGTTGAATTTCTTGTTTAGGGTTTTAGGGCTCAAAGTATAAAAGGAAAAGGATTAGGATTTGTCAAAGAGGATTTGAAGATTTTTAAAAGGTAGAAAAGGGGTAAATAAATCTGAAGAAGACATAAAAGGGAAATATAGAAGAAGTTAGGCATGATGCCTAAATTCCCTTCAGAATTACACCTATGGTTTGAATAGCATTACACTATCCATAAAGAGCATAACTGGTGGGGAGAATTTATATAAACCTTCTTGTTTATTACAACTAAAGCATTATATAGATACCATATAGTCTATAAAATTCTAAGCATTCCGAACTTGAATAGGACTGAAACTCCATATTAGAAACATAAAAATTTGGGTGAATTCCCCTATGTATTCAAAATGACATCGACCTTCCCTGTCAAACTTACTGTTAAACGGCATTAATGGAAGTTGCAGTTTTTCTCATTTGTCCTCACATTTAAATAACTTTTCATTATCTTTACACACATTTAAATAATTCTCCTTTTCCATTATTTCCTATTAAGCACCATGTCCTCTCTTAAATTTAAGTGTTTTAAGTCGGTTGTGTCTTTTTCAAGACCCAACACTCCACTCCATACAATATAGCCGGCCTAATAACCATTCTATAGAATTTTGCTTTTAATTTACTTGGTATTCCTTTGTCATAAAGGATATACCACCGGCTTGCCTCCATTTTGTCCACCCGGCTCCAATCCTACTTACTACATCACCATCTATCTCCCCATCTTTTTGTAATATATATTCTAGGTAACAGAAAGAGTTCTTTTGAGTAACTCTTTGGTCTTGGAAGTGTAACATCGTTTTCTACTTTATCAAATTTACATGTCATATATTCCGTTTTAGTTTTACTAATTCTTAAGCCTTTTGATTCTAATGCCTTTCTCAATATTCCTAATTTTGTTGCTAAGGCTTCCTTAGATGTATCTATTAATACTATTCTAGGCTTGCCCCCATTTTGTCCACCCGGCTCCAATCCTACTTACTACATCACCATCTATCTCCCCATCTTTTTGTAATATATATTCTAGGTAACAGAAAGAGTTCTTTTGAGTAACTCTTTGGTCTTGGAAGTGTAACATCGTTTTCTACTTTATCAAATTTACATGTCATATATTCCGTTTTAGTTTTACTAATTCTTAAGCCTTTTGATTCTAATGCCTTTCTCAATATTCCTAATTTTGTTGCTAAGGCTTCCTTAGATGTATCTATTAATACTATGTCATCTGCAAATAACATACACCATGTGACGTTTTCTTGAATATCTTTCATTATTTCGTCTAATATTATCGCAAATGACTTAACACCGATCCTTGGTGTAATCCCACCTTTACGGGAAATCACTAGTTTCCCCGCATGTAGCGTTAACTCTAGTCAATGGCTCACTATACATATCCTGACTAAGTTTATAAGTTTTACAGGTACTTGTTTTTCTGTAGAGCCCACCAAATTATGTCCCTCGGCACTCTATCATCTGCCTTCTCTAGATCTATGAAAACTATATGCAAGTTTGTTTTGTTTACTCCTGAATTCTCCTATGAGTTGTCTTATGAACTATAAGTTTAATCTTTGCTCTATTATTCTTTTCCACAATTTCATTATCTGACTCATTAATTAAATTCCTTTATAATTTCCATAATTTTGTATATCCCCTTTATTTTTATAAATTGGTACTATTGTGCTTTTCCTGCACTCGGCATTCTTTCTTCTCTTAGGCTATGTTTGGTTGGAGGGAAGGATTAAGGAGGGATGGAAGAACATTTTCATGTTTGGTTGGAGGGAAGGATTAAGAGAGGGAGGAATCAAGGAAGGATTCCTTTGTAATTTTCTATCCGCCCAAAATTGGGGGGAAGAGGAGAGACAAAAAAAGATAACTAACAATTATTTAGTAATTTACATTTTTAACCTTTCTAAAAATTAAAATGAATATCTAATTTTTATTATTATATATGATAAAGGTATATTAGTAAAAAGAACATAAAAACTCTCTTTCCCTCCCTTCCAACCAAACAAGAAAAAAAATGTTACCCTATCTATCATTTCTACTATCCATTCTATTCAACCAAACAAAAAGTGAGAGAGAAACCTTCCCTTCCCTACGGATGCCTAATCCATCTCCCCCCCCAATCCATTTTTCCATCCCTCCAACCAAACGAAGCATTAGAATTTTGTTAAACAACTTTGTTAACCATTCAATGACTATCGCTTGGGTGCAAACAGTTCCTTGAGAAGAGGAGAAAGAAGAGGGAGGAGGGGGGTGGTTTAGTATCAACTACGAAAAAAAAAAAAAAAACACATTCAATGGCTATCACGACTAATTCATTATTATGCATTTCATTTTCCATTCCTATGCGCAGTTCGTTACTCACGACTTCTTCTCTAGTAGATTCCTCATGTAGCAATTGTTCAAAAGTAATTGTTTTTTATCTTTCTAATATATCTTTATCGTTAACTAATATTGTTTGATCTATATCTTTAATACACCTAACTTGATTCATGTCTCTTGTCAACCTCTCTCTATTCTTTGCCAATTTGTAAATAGCTATTTCACCCTTTTGTTTAGTGCCTTTTGTTTTAGCTATGGCTATCATTTTCTTAACTTCATATTTATTTTTTATTTTTTTCTTTTTATTTTTTATTTATTTTTCTATTTCTCTAAAATACTATTGTTTCTTACTTTTTTCCATTCTTTAAAGCTCATTTTTTTTTGTTTTTTTATCTTTACACACATTTCAAGGGCAAAATGGCATTCTAACATTTACTTTGCTAATATAAGCAACTTTTAAATTGTCTTGATCGTTAAGAGAGGACGAATGTGTTACCAACCCATATAACTTTTTTTTTAAAGTGTTACCAAACCATATAACTCAAAGGTAGCAAGTGTAATTTTTCAATTTTTCTGAATTAAGGGGGAGGTCACTATAATTCACCCAACAAATTTTTACCAATGGTACTCTTAAGAAAAACTATAAAGATCCAATATTACAACCTACCCAAAATGTGACCATAAACTACTACTACTACAATGGTACAATTACCAACATCTACCAAATCTAGAAATTATCAAAATACTTTGATCGGCTGACCCTAAAACGTAAAATTAAACCAGCAACAACAGACTTGAGTCAAACTAAAACTTGATTCCCAACAGGCTCCTAATTCAAATCAAGCTAACTTTAAAACTTTTTCTTGAACTTATGTATCGCATGAAGCCTACTACCCACTAACACATTTTTTGAGGTTTTGTCATTTTCTTAGTAAGAATGGGTGACAATATTTTGCCTGAATAGTTTACTAAGCTAGTTGGCAAGACAACAAGTTACCAAAAAGATGCTGGTTCAATAATCAGTAATTAAAATGTTCGAAAACTTTTTCTTGAACGTATGTATCGCATGAAGCCTACAACCACAACACATTTTTGGGGGGTTTTGTCATTTTCTTAGTAAAAAAGGGTGACAATATTTTGCCTGAATAGTCTACTAAGCTAGTTGGCAAGACAACAAGTTACCAAAAGATGCTGGTTCTATAATGAGTAAACAAAATGTTCACAAATGTATTTGTTGTAAAATAAGCACCATGATAGTCAGAATATTAGCCCAATTTTACTCAAATTAGAGTCAAATTTCAAATTTAAACACAACTCAATAATGCCCAAATTTTGCCCCATTTAAGCCCAATTAGACCTGATTGGAGGGCCAATATCGGGCCCATACGCAACCCGCCACCTGGCTTGCTTAGTATAACAGCCTGGTGGGCTAGGCTTGGACTTCAAAGTCGCTGGCAACACTGGCCCAGCCCCAAAATTACCCGACCCACTATTGACCCCTAATACAAGTATAACATAGAGGGTATAACCTTTTTTCATTTTCAACTTTGTATTGGGATGCAGTTTCATCAATTTCTACTTCTATATAAAAGCAAGTTCAACCTTTCTAGCTTTAAGTTGTGAATTGGATTTTAAGCTGTTCATTAGGTTTCGCTTGTCAAGGAGGGAGAAAGTAACCGGCCAATATGTCCTCCCTCCATCAACCACTTCTAAATAGAATTCTACCATTTTGCCTCTCTATCGTCTCCATTCTCTATACTTTCTCTCTTTATCTACAAAGTTGAACAATACTCGAATAATCTTCTCACGGTTGACTCATTTTATTTAACACTATTCAAAAATTACACCAATGGGAACCTATATTCAATTTCTAACAATAGGAAAAAAAAAAAAAATGACAATCTCGTGAACAAAATTCAAGCGAAAACAAGAAGGAAAAGGTGTGTGCTATATTGTATATTGCTAAAGTGACGATAAATTTCTATGATAAACTTCCATTAGGTTATCGACAAAATAAATAAAAATGAAAATAACAAACTGCTAGGAGTAGTCAATAGAGTAGAAGTGTTAAAAAAAATTCATGAATACATCAGTGGTTAATGGTGCAATTATTCCAAATGCAGATCTAAAACTTATGAAAGATAACAAGAACACAAACCGCAGAGTTGAAAATTTCTTAGAAGTGATTTTACTTTGGTGGTGTCATCAAATGAAATACATGACCACAACAGCAATTGCCGCTAATGTTATAACATGGTTGGATTTTTAGACCAGCACTACTTTTGCGGAGTCATTAAGTGCAAAGCTAAAGTCACAATAAATAAAGCACTGAAAAGAGTTCTTTTTTTGGAATTTTTTTTTTTTTTTTTTTTTTTCGGAAAATACTGAAAAGAGTTCTTGCTATATAATATGACTCCAAAAACCATTTGCATTTCCTTTTGCAATGAAATGCATGACTGCTAACAAATTTGCAAAGCATTTTAGATTGCACGACTCATCTTTACAAAAATGAGATTTTACTTGTAAAATAAAATAAAAAATAAAAAAAGACTCATCCCGTCATCCACCCCCAGTTATAAACCAAATCATAAAGAAAATTAAAACATTGGTATGGCCAACAAGTAACAGATTACCAATTTGCATATAAGAAAGTAATAAATAATATATTTTGCTAGTTTAACCAAGTTAAGCATTCTATTTCTATCAGAAAAATAAACCCATGAGATAAAAAGTTATTGAGGTTCACCTTTTCTCTTGTTTGTACCAGAAGAACCGACCTTAGATGCTACATTCCCAGGTCCACAACCAGGGAGCTCCTTTAATCCGGAATTCATGCTCTCCAGACACTGCAGATTCTCAAATTCACAACCACCAAAACCTTGACCGTTTAATGCTACACCTTCCCCACTTTTTCCTTCCACCTCTGGATGAAGGCAGTAGACCTGATCATCACACTGTATATTACAAGGATTCACCACATATGCACCAGCTGAGTTCGAATTAGCCAAGTTTTGATACATATCTCCACTCTTGACCGACTTCTGATAAGGAAATGATCCAATCTCCCCTTCAATCCTTCCTCGAATGTCCACAAGCAAACACTTGAGCCTCGCAACCTCGGCCTCCAATGCAGCCTGACCCTGCAATCTCTTCAACAACTGCTGATTCAAACCCCTCAATCTGCGAACTTCATCCTCTAACGATGCGGCGCGAGCCTTCTTCTTCTCTCGGTACTTGCGAACTGCTTCACGATTACCCAATGGGCGTTTCTTTGATTGCTTTTCATCAGACTCTGCAGTATCATCACTGGCAACTTTATCCTCAGTTGGGGCAGATACAATTTTGGTGTGCACATGAAAACAAGTGTGTGTATGTGAGAAATCAGGGCCTGGTGGGTTGCAAGTGTGAGTATGAGTGCAGGCATGTGTGTCCTGGAGAAGTTCATCAAAAAAGCTGTCCATCGAGCAACTGCTTGGGAATTCACCAATACTCGAGAAATCAATCTCCCCGTCGTCCATCTCGATGAAGAAACAAAAAACTCTAGAGAGGGATAAATTAATAATTTTGATCTTGAAACTGATTAAAATTTGCTGTCTTCTCTTGATTGTAGATACTCGATTTCTTTATAGTTCTTACCGATTTCAAATTGGGTGATTCAAAACCCGAACCCTAACAAATTCAGAAACAACGATAGATGACAAGATTAGGATTTCGAAAGCATGAACCAGATAAAAAGTTGTGTATCTTAAAAATTTTAAAGCCTGCGACTTGAAGAATCAGTAAGATATCAAAATGGGTTTGACAACAAGTCAATACAGAAACAAATTCGAACCCTAAAAATGAACTGCTTATTAAACCTATGCACTTGAGCACAAATATCACAACCTAGATTATTCTGTTGGATTGAAGAACAGCCAAGCTAAACAAGCAATGAACTTGAACTTTAATGGGTTTGAGAACAAGTCAACCCATAAACAAATTCGAACCTGCCTAAAAAGTTATGAACTTGAGCACAAATATCGTATCCTAGATTGTTCTGTGTGATCGCAAAACAGCAAAAATAAACAAGCGATGAACTTGAACTTTAGAAGAAGACTTACAGTAGAAATCCTCAGACGAATCAATCCTACGGAGAGATTCGAACCAAATCACTGCGGTTATGTTCTTTGTGAACTAACTATCTCGGTGATGAAGGATCATGAATTGGAATTTGAAACCCTAGGAACCAAGGGGCGGTGTTGAGAGAGATGGTTAGTGGAGATCAGAAACCCTAGAAAAAGGGGAAAAGGGTTGAAACATGGCAACATGTAAATGGCGGAAAATGAATTGAAGACACAGGAGCCATTGGGTGGTTCAGAGATTTCATAGAACAGGGTCTCTTTAGAAAGTCAGAAACTCAAAAAGGTGTAGAGTTTTAATTTATAGTTATTTGGGGGAGTGGTGTGTAAAATTCCAAAATACTGGAACATTGGGCAATCATTTGACAACTTCGAGGCAATGTGTGTACATCATTCTGTTTGCACACGTGTTTGAGCGTAACACATCCAGTATCTTGACTAACCAAATCTTAATATTCAACTCATTTATTACTCTCTCATTTTCTCTAGCGAAGGACAACCTTAAAAAAAAAACAATATCACTTTAAAAAATTGTAACTCACAATATAAATTAGTCACAGTTTTCAAACGTGATATTTAATTTGAAATAAAGATAATAGTACTTAGGTTACTTTCAAATAAAAAAATAATAAATAAAATTAGAAATTAGGTTTTTTGGAATAATTTTTTTTTCTTAAATTTATTTATTTTTTTAAAAAAGGCCTTTTTAATTATTTTTTTTTTAGGTATTGTCTTTTATAATAGTTTGAAAATATTTTTTTGTTTTTTTATTTTTATTTTTTGAAAACCATTTTCAAAATGACAAACCAAGTAAGCTCTGTTTTTCCCTTTTTGAAGTAATAACAAGAAAAAGAAAAATGGAAATGAAAGCATAGAGTAAGGTATGCTTGGTTTACAATTTTTAAAACAGTTTTCAATTTCAATTTTTTCACTTCCATTTTTTCACTTTGAAAATACATTTGGTTCTGAAAATTACAAAACAATATTCAGAGAACAAAAATTCATAAATCTACTTGGTTGTTGTATCTAGTGAAAAAAATTTCTAAACTAAGAAAACAAAGAATATTGTACATCACACTTTTTTATTTATTTACTTATAGGATGTTAACTACTAATGTAGATACTTTTCTTTTCTTTTTTTCCAAGTCTACTAATGCAATATTTATTCATGTGTTTGGGGATACGTTACTTTTAAAAGCTAGTATTCTTAATTTATTAAAAATTGCACAAATACAATATCATAAGTTTAAATAAAACATGAAAGGTACATGATTTGGTTAAATTAAATAGAGTTAAAGAGTTACACGAGTTAATTCTAGTGTCATATGCACTTTTAATTGTTCATGCATTTAGTTTAACTATACATAAGACAGAACATTAGAAACTTAGAGAAATTGTAATGATCCAGATTTTATTTTATTTTTCTTGTAATGACCCGGGTTTTTATTCAACCCGGTGCGTCAGTGATGACCCAAAAGTTGACTCGATAACGGATCCGAAGTGCGAAAGCAAAAGATAAAACAGTGGTCTCAAGAGACACAACACGTCCTTAAGACACCAATGTCACCTTTAATGAGGTCACGGAACCCAAAGAAAACAAATGTGGAAGCGGCGTTTCAAAAACGGACAAGTATGGACCTAGGGGTAAAATGGTCATTTTCAAGGTGAAAGTGGGTACTACCGAGCACACCATTGGAAAGATAATGAAAAATCAATCAGGATAGACTCAAGAATCGCATGATTCGGAGTCTGAACGAAAGAAAAACAGCAAGATAAAGAAAAACAAGCACTTAAGGCTAAAAGGATAAACTGGTAATTATCCAGGAATATCCGGGTGTAACCGAGCACACAGTTGGATAGATGACGAAAAATTAGTCAAGTTAAAAAAAAAAATTGACTTGATTTGTAATCCGAACGAAGGAGATACGGCTAACGGAAGAAAAAAGACAAAAAGAGTCAACCCAATACCATCTAACCAGTTACCAAACCTTCCTAACCGGTTAGGAGGCCAAAAATGAAGACCACAACACTGCCCACACTCATATAACCGGTTATGTGGAAGCCACCACTCGATCACTTGTGCTACAACTCAGCAAAAACATGGCAGCAGGGGATTTTCTAGGAAAAATGAATTTTTGAGGGCCAAGATGACATTTTTTGGAAAAACACAAAGAAGAAACCCCCCTCAAAATTGATTTTTCTACGTGACATTGCAAAAGGAATCAAAAAACATACTATAAAATGTCCAAAATGCCCCTCTATGAAAATTGATCATGAAGGTCAAAAAGCTGCTAAAATACAAAACTGAAACCTGAACTTTGCAATGGATTTCCGGTGCCAAGACGACATTTTCTGGAAAAACACGAAGAAGAAACCCCCCCTAAAATCATGTTTTCTATTCAACCATGTTGAAAGAAGAAAATAAAACTACAGTGAAAAGTCTAGAATTCCCCTAGGTCAGATTATGCAATAAAAACGCAAAATGAGTCCATAGGAGGCTCAAATCACCAAGGATGGAGTTTTTCTTAAAAACGATCATGTACGTAAACGTAACTTACCTATTTGGACGTGCTACAATGATCCATGACTTAAAAATACCGCCAATGCAAAATCCGACCCCCCAACGGTCAAAAAGGCGAAAATGGACTTGAAATGGAAAACATGAAATCCAAAAATATAAAATGGAGTCAAATGACCATTTGGCCCTTGAAACCCTATGAAAGAATAAAAATGGAATTCCCACACCTGATGCAACCATGGTGAGATAATGACTTGGCATTTTTCAATATTTTCATAATATTTCATGAAGTTAAAAGTTACATAAAATGCGATATACATGTCATTGGCCTCTAGCCTCATCTTATACATTGTAAAAGGTACACTTATGTACACATTACATACATGGAATCAAATATGCACAGGCTATAAGTGGCGTTTCAAGCCAACCTTTACAAAAATTAAGACCTTCAAGTCTACAATCATCCAAGCAATGATGAACATCATGAACTAAGTCTTCATACCTGAACAAAACCCCCATTAACTTCGGGGTGAGTAAACAAATTTACTCGTAGAGAATGAGTATGCATCGACTCGATTTCTTTTGAGATTTTTACATTAATTTGAAACAATTCAAAAAGGTCATGCCACCTAATGTCTATGTCAAAGGTTAGACTCAGGGAGCATCCTAAGCTACTCATGCAATTGAAATAAGATACATTACATACAAGCATACTGGTTACAAGTGTACTAAACGAAGATGAAAGCATGCGAGGCAAGTATACAAACACAGGTATACTGAATGTGATACCCTCAAATTTTAGAACACGGGTTGATCAGGTCCGCGCACAAAGCCAGGGGATATCTGTCAATCAATAATAAACAAGAATAGAATACAAGAGGAAAAAAAAAAATAATAAAATAAATAAACAACGCTGGAAGGGAAAACTAAATTAATAATTAAAAAACAAAACCTCTGATGACATAATCTCTAATAAAATTCAATAATAATAATAAATCTCCAGAGTACAACTTGGGAATCTATACCATGTAGACCCCTAATAAAAAAAAATCCCAACTAAAGACGAAGTAAAAAAAAAAAATGTCTAACTCAAAAATAATAAATAATAACGAAAACATAGTGGAAGTCCTACGTCTATGTCACCGGAAGAGTGATGAAGTCTGGCCTCTGTTCAGCACGAACTGACTCTACGTCTAGAACTATCGAGGACCTGAAAAGATAACAACAAAGGTGGGTCAAAACCCACGAACAAGCCCTTTCTACTACATCCTAAACAAAGACCCGATAAACGATCCAACCTAATCTGACTCATGTAATAGCTATGTAGGTCAGTATACATAAGTATACACATTATAGACTCTCACTGGATCATAAGACAGCCTCAACCGGATAGTAGGTCTCATGCAAGCGCACACAAAATGGTCACGAGTATCTCTTCTACCAGGGCACACACATTCCTAGATCCAACTACTCATCTTACCTGGCAATATACGCCAACCTTAACCATCAATTCCAAGATCTCAGCTCGTATCATGGTACCCAATTAAAATTTACGTATATAAGTCACTATAGTCATATCTTGACAATAGCACAATTTAAGGTCATAACTATATCCTGACAATGGTATGACAAAACGCATGAGTCTAGACTTATTAGTCAACCTATATATTTATCAGCAAGCCATATCCTAACAACAGTGCTTTTAAGACCATATTCTGACAATGGTCCTCCATTATACACTCATAATCAAGTTTGTATAAGTTTATATACACATATAGTCACATGCATGACTATAATCACTTTATAGACTATAACAATTGATATATAATCAAAGTCAGCAATGGGTATCATACGAGTGACTTGCAACACAAGTGAAGTCTCAGCTACCGTCATATGCATCATTAATAATAATATTTATTTGAAATATTTAATATGGTGGTAACAACTTCTATACATAACATGCAATTAACTTAATGCAAGTAAAGCTATATACATTATCACATGCATCATCAATTATCATATTACCATCAATATATATAAAAAAAATTAAATATACTACTGTCATATGCATGATTAATAATAATATTTATTTGAAATATTTAATATGGTGGTAACAACTTCTATACATAACATGCAATTAACTTAATGCAAGTAAAGATATATACATTATCACATGCATCATCAATTATCATATTACCATCAATATATATAAAAAAAATTAAATAAACTAAAAGCCATTAAAAGTCTTATGCTAATAACTTAACACGCGAACAAAGCCATTTATTATTTCCTACACAATTAACATGGCATTATCCTCTATAATAAATTTTCTTTCAAGATAAGGAAAACTTTTTAATAGATAATTAATTACTAACCTGCAATTAACAATTCCATTATATTACTTTAATGTCATTAGAGTAGTTACCTTACAAGTAAGCACTGTTAATAGTCAACCTATAATTGACTCCATAATCAAGTAATGACTTATATATACCATAACTTGAAAATCAAGCACTCACCTGCTAGAAGACTTACACAGCTTGTATATGTGCCAACTGACCCCAGACAACATGGGTCCTTACTGGAAAATTCGCAAAGCCCAAAAATAATAAAATAAAATGAAAAAAAATAAAAAATAAAATAAAAAATAAAATAAAAACACATCATCCCTCAACTACCGCATCGGCGAAGCCGACTGCCCCTTCAACCTTACCCCTCATCCTTCCACCTGAAAGACTACAATCTCCTCTTAAATTCATAATTAAACTGTTTGCAACTATGTCATAGCAGGTCTCAACAACCCACAACAAGTCCGGTTAATCAGTCCTCTTTTCTTAAAAAAAATAAAATAAAATACATTATTAAAAACTTAAAAAAAAACAATCAGAACTGATACACCAATACTCATATATATATAAATTAATTTATCCTTTAGCATGAATAAAATCAAACCAACCTAAAATTAATTTCCTAACATCATTCTAAGAGTGAACCGATCACAAAATCAACGAGGATGAGTAGAACGAAGACTTGCCTTTTATGAATTTCGGATTGAAAACTCTTTTCTTCTCCAATTTCTCACCGTCCCTGTCTGTTTCGTTTTCCTCTCCACAAACCCATGTAACAGACTTACATATATATATATATATATAAAATATGTCAACTAACCTAACCTAATCCTATACTACCCCAAAATACTAGCAGCCACACCCAATCAAAACCAAAACTAATTAACTCCAATTATAATACACTAACTTGCCACAACACACTTTTATTTAATTTATATATATTTATATATAAACAAAATAAGACAATCTATAATCAACTAATAGTGCAAAGCTACGTACAGGTAAATAATATATATATATATATATATATATATATATATATATATACCTAATTTACTAATAATAATTTAAAACAACAAATAATTAATACAAATAAAGACTACTAAAAAATTAAAATAATAATAAACAGTCCAATACAAAATTTCACACACAAATTCAAATAGCCAGGTAGACAAAAACAAAATAAAATAAAAAAAACATTTGATGAGTATTGAAAAGTGCGTATTTAAACCCCTTAAGCTTAGGCATTCTAGTACCTTTATCTATCTTACTTTACCGTTTTAGATTGATTTCGTAATATTTCCATTTTCAGGCACTTATTCCGAAAATAAGCTAACTCAGCCAAGTAAGAGCTTAATTGAAGCAATTCTGGGATTAAACAAAGAAATGAGCAAAGTGGAGAAAGAAAGAAGCAAATGAAGCCAAAGGTGGGAAGCAGCAAAGTTCGATCGATCCAACTTCAAGGTTTGATCAATCGAACACTGATCGATCTCAGTACTTCAAGATAGATCCAAATCTTGACCCAAAGCATAAAATCCAAAGTTCAATCGATCCAACACCACTCTTCGATCGATCGAACACTTTTGTCCTTATTCAAATGATTGATCTTATCCACAGCTGTACCACCCACTAACCACTTTTGTCCTTTTCCCAAAAATATCTCCTAAAATATCTCGGATTTGTCTTTTCCCAAAAAGCTCAACCAGTTGGATCGATCCAGCCTCAGTTCGATAGATCTCAGCCAAGTTCGATCAATCCAAGTTCAAGGTTCGATCGATCGAACTTCCTCCAGTGCGAAAAAGTTAAAAAGCCAGCTTGTTCAACCCGTCCTTTATCCAATCATTAGAGAATATTCTTTGCATGGCCCCAGCTCATTTTGTGTGTCACTTGACCTACCTAAAAAAGGAATATGATGCACTTTTTGAGATATATACAATTCTAGGGATTATTCTCAAAAGAGGCAAGCTTTAAGGAGGAAGAAGAGGAGGAGGAGACTAGAGACACAAAGGGGGGAGTTCTCCATCAACAAGGAGCAGATTTCTTCCATGGAGTTAGCCCTTGAGGGTTGGAGTAACATCACTGTAATACCCCTAATATTTAAAGGACAGTCCTGGAATTTAATTAATTATTTAAATTGTGTTTTTATTTGATTAATTGATTAATTGCTGTTAATTTAATTATTTGTGTGCATTTTTATTTAATTAATTGTATTTTTATTTAGTTAATTGGTTAAATTGTATTTTATTTGATTAATTGATTAAATTGTTTTATTGTAATTATTGTAATTGTTTAAAAACAATTAAATAGGTTAATTGGTTTAATTAGGTTTGTATTTTCCTGTATGTTCACGTTGTAGCCGACTTAGGGTTGATGTAGAATTAGACTTAGGGTTTTAATGACGCCCTATATATATTGCATTATACGTATGTTTAGGATTACAAACAAAACCCTATTCACGTATACAGTGAGATAGAGAGACACAGAGAAACAGAGAGTGAAAACTTGAGAGCTTGCAGAGAGGTTCAAGGAGGTTGTAACGGAGTGCTTCTGGGTTGAACCAAGAGCGCCGAAGGTGTAGAACAATAGTCGACAACATTGACGGAAAACTTAGAGACGACAGTTTCAGTTTTCTAACCGGAAATTAAAGGCAAATCTCTGTTCTTCTCTTTCCTTTTAATTCGTGTTCTGTGCATGCCTAGTTAGATTCCAGAGATTAATTAAAGGCTAAAAATGGATTAAACAGATATTATATCAAGTCTTGTATGCATATATGAATTATATAAATCTCATTGAAATAAGTGAATTGCATAATCCTTGATGTTTTTGTTATTTTGTTCTTCTCGATGGTTGCGTTTAAGCTTTGATTAAAATTAAGATCATGGTTATGTATTGATGACTTGTAATTAATCTGGGCTTAAGATTGAACCCTGAGTCAAGTATTAAAAATAGTTTTCAAATTCACTGAATAAATCTGTTTTAATCGCTTAAGTTTTTAACTAAGAATCTGTAGTCGTTGCTTCAGAAGGTTGTGTTCAATACATGTTATGATGGGATTTCAGTGGTTTAAGATGTACCTAGGACTGAGTTTGAACCTAGAACAAGGATTTTAAAACACCACAGAGGCTCTGTTAATCATCGGAGTTAGAGGAGAAGACGCAAAAACGGACGACGGCATCTAAGGGAGGAAGAGCAGGCTCTTCCTACTCTTAGAGCCAGCTCCCAAAGGGTGGGGAGCCGGCTCTTGCAGCCTTAGAGCCGGCTCTTGGAGCCTAGAGTCGGCTCTCACTTTAAATAGAGTAGGCTCTCAAATTTTGGAGCCTGCTTTTGCCCAGTTTTACATACAATATGTTGTCTGGGCGTAGGTTTGGACTATACAGTGTATTGGCATAGTTTTTAAACTGTTTTAAATGTGGTTTGAGACTGTAAAATACCTATAATACTTTGGAAAACATTAATTCTCAACTGGACTAAGAAAAGAATCAGGATGAACTTATGGAAAATTCGAAGTTTGCGCACGGTTTTGAATACTTAAGTTTATTTCTGGAACTTGGATTTTCTGTGGGATATAATTTATTTCTGTTTAAATATATTTAAACAGATTTATAAATATGGTAGGTTCTTGAAATCATTTGTGCTTGATTTAAAATAAATTGATATATACATTCTGTTAATTTTATCAATTTATGGATTTCATAAGAATTTAAATGATATGACTGATTCTAGCTATTTAAATTTATTGGAGCATGATATTTAGGTTCTGTTGTGATTACCTTACATTGTTATGTATGTATGTATATATATTGATGCATACTTTGGAGAATGGATGTTGATTATATAGTGTGGTTTTATTAACTACGTAGTTCGGATGAGTTAAATGATCAGTTATTCTTTATTAGTTTAAAAGGGTTGGTTTAGGACTTCTAAACCTTATATTGAGTGCATAATTTGATCCTACACCTGTTAGATTGTTATGTATGCTTATACTGGAGTATGGTTGGTATGCTTCAAATACTGTTTTGTCAACTATGTTAACTAGAGGATTGTATATATCGGTATGGGACGGTGACATACTAGGTATAGATTAGTTCAAACACTAAATCCTACCTAATTTGGAATGAGTTGGATTAACCATAAAAAGGTTAAGTCCTACTTATATGGATATATATGAACCGGTATGGGACGGTGTCATATTAGGGATGGCTTAGTTCAAAACACTAAGACCTACCTATATTGGGAGTGGATTAGTTCAAAACGCTAAGTCCTATCTAATTTGAATTAAGGTATGGATTAACCACAAAGGTTAAGTCCATCTCCCACTTGTGTCATGTCAATAAAATAATTGAATGACCTACTATGGTTTCAGGTTGGAGTCTTATACATATATCAGACCACTATACAGATGGTTGATAGCTTGTATTAGGAGTTCGGACTTTATATATATATATATTATATGGTGCCGTGGTATGAGCTTGAGTCTCATGACCATGGTTAGGGCGCGTATATTGCTTAGGATGGATAACTGGACATATGTGTTGTTCCCTGGTAGGTCTAAGTACTCATGCCTACCTTAGGGTGCGTATTTGCATGTTGCCTTCTATTCAGGCTGAGACAGACCTACTAGACTAGCGAGCATCCTATAGTGTGTACTATATACATATATGGACTACTCTAGATGTCGTTGAGTCTTCCCAGGATGTATCTGCGTATCGGATTACTGTGTAGATTGTAGTAGATCAGGACTTGCATGTGGGCCTGACCCACTCCTTTATTTTTCAGGTGCTCGGCAGTTCCAGAATTAGAGGTTGATCGTGCAGAGCAGATACAGACTTCCATTCCACCGACTATGTAAGACCACTCTCTACGTTTAGCTTTAAGTTTTATTTCCAGTTCGAGATTTTTATTAGGGATCCTCTAGAAGGATTCCCGAGTTGTATGGATTGGTGGTTTAGATTATCGGATTTAAAATATATATAATTCAAGGTTTATTAATTTAGTTTCTTCCAGTTATTTAATTTTATTTCTTAATTCATTTTGTACTCCGTGTTCGTTATAAAATACTTTAATTGTTTGATATCCCTCGAGTTTTGTGATACCCCTCGGATCTGAGACACGGGTTGATCAGGTCCAGGCCTAAACCCGAGGGAATATCAAACAATTAAAGTATTTTAAAGCGAACACAGATGACAAAATGAAATAATAAAAATGGAATAAAACTAAAAGAACATTTAATTAAAAAAAACCCTCCATGCATAACTGAAAAATAAAACTCCAATCCTCAAAAACTTCAAGGTTACAACTTGGGAATCCACTGGTGGAACCCTAACCAAAAGTTCAACTGAAACTGAAAACTGAAAATAGATAATGCTAGAAACATCGAGAGAAGTCCTACATAATCAGATGAATGTGGGACTGTCCTTGACAAACACGATCAAGCTCTAAGGCTGAAACCGTCCTGTACCTGAAAAGAATAATAAAGGAGTGGGTCAAACCCACGAGCAAGTTCTAATCTAACTGCAATCCATACAGTGACCCGATACGCAGATACACCGTAGACACCTCACAATATCTATCTAGTCCATACGTATAAATATATCCACACTAAGGGATATTCACTAGTCTATAATAGGGGTCTCAACCTGAATAGAAGGCAACATGCGAATACGCACCCAAAGGTGGGCAT